AGGCTCTGAAGGAGTTGACATCTACAACTTCAGAAATCAAGGCGACACTTTCAGCCCTTCAGAGCTTTGTCTTTCACAAAGAAGACCTCACAGAAGCCTTCTATGCCCTGTCTCTCAACCCTTTTTCAATCCAAAAGCTCAAGACAGAGTTATCAGAGGTAGCCGCCCAATTCGCTGCAGACTTTATTTCGGCCGGCTACACGGATTATTCTGCCTTCAAGGACGAGATAAAAGGGATGTTCTCCTCTGCGGTCACCTATGGTATTGACTCTAAATCCTCCAGGGCTAATATTAACCATCTAGCCACTCGCAGAGAGCTAGACGCAATGGTTGAGGCCCTTGGAGAGATCGTGCAGAAATACACTGATCAACTACTCAAGGAAGCCCGAGCAAGCAACAAAGCTATAAGAGACTGCACGAAGAAACTCGTCAAAGAAGGTGATAACTTCAGAAACGAGATCTATTGTTGCATCTCTGAGATGAAATGGGCCACAGAGATGGATATCAACACTGCCTTTGTGATCGCTGAGGAGGTCATTCAAAAGATGGAGAGGGCGGCATCCAAAGTTTTGAAGCAATTGAAGAAGGCTCCCCTTACTACTTGCAAAACAGAAGCCACTAAAATCCATGACGATCAAGGAGGTGATGACCATGATCATCATGAGGGGGAGATGAAGACAGAGAAGAAGACAGAGGAGCCAAAGAAGACAACCTCTGCCAGACCACTAAAGATAGTAGACTCTGCTGCTGCCCTATTCACTAAAGATAAATCTCCAGAGCCTAAGGGGAAAGGCAAGGGTAAAGCAGTAGAGGAGTCGCCACAGAAGGGGTCAAGCTCTGAGACGCTAGAAGAGATAAATGAAGAAGAGTATGATGACCCGGATCTCGTTCGAGCTTTAAAGGCGTCTTTGGCAAAGGCATAGGCAAGAAAGGGCAGAGCTCCTATCCCCAGAGCTGGAGAAAGCTCTTCCTCTAAAATGGCGAAGGAGGAAACGTCCACGGGTACATTTGACGCTCTGGTAGGAACTGTCAAGCCAATCCTACCAGAGGGGTCTACCCAGAGGCTGATACTAGAAGAAGAAGAAACCAGAATACCAGAATCTGCCACAGTGGGAAGGTTTACAGAGATCCTTGAATCTATGAGCAAGATTCCTATGCAGAAAGTGCGCACAAAGCCCGTAACTACTGTGGAGGAGATTATGCGGTGGCATTACTCTGACGTGGACACAGAGCCCCCGTATGACCCAGAGCTTACAGGAATACCCTCTGCCGCTGCAAAGTTCCACTTCTCAAAACTCATAAGGCCACGAGAGCAGGTCTTCTCAGAGCATGTGATCACTTCTCTTGAAGCCATATCTCTGCGAACCATGCTAAAGAAGACCGTGCTTTATTCTCAATATGTGGTGGTGAGGGATGACAACAACCTCTACACTTTCACAGATGCTGACCTCCACAACCTCTGTGTATTTGACCTTATCTTCTTGC